AATAACTAACACCACAGGCCATGAACTATGTTTACTCGCTTAAATTTCCATATGGATTCATTCCATCTATAGCAAGTCCAAACCTAATGTTTCTTGGATCATTACCAAAATTCGGAAGATGGAATCAATTTTTTTCCATTGCAATCCATCTCACGGATGCCTCAACCGACCATCTTTAATACGACTATCCGCATGCCATCTAGTGAGCTTTGCATCATTTCCATTAGTGAATAATCGTTTCAACCTTGGAACAATGGGAAGATACCATAACACTTTTGCCTGGGTACCCTTCATTACATCATTGTCGGAATCACCATCCTTCTTCTTGTATCGTGATTCCCCGCATTGTGGACATTCGTGACAGCTTCTCAAATTCTTTCTCGTACAACACACAATCATTCGGACATGCATGAATTTTTTGGTACTCCATACCCATTGGACACAATATCTTCTTAGCATCATAATTGCGGGTTGGCAATGTGTTACCTTCGGGGAGCATGTCACTCAACAACTCAAGCAATTCTCGTGAAACTTTTATCAGTCCACCCATTCTTTGCCTTCACATTGAACAATTTTAGTACCGCCGACAATCGTGTGAACTTAGTACAATTTGTATACAAAGGCTCTTTTGCATCATTGGACAACTTCTCGTACACATGTGTGTGTTGGAAGGCATCTTGTCCAAGCTCACGAATCATTTCCTCCAACTGATCATCCATCTCTAGATCAACTTCTTCTTTGTCTTCTACACTTGGCATGTTTAATAATTCACCATGCCATGTCCACTTTATGTAACTCTTTAGGAAACCATCACAAAGAACATGTTCCCGAATAACTTCAATCGGTAATCTTCGCTCATTCAAGCAGCTTAACACAAGGGCAATAGAATCTTCCATCATTATCCGGAACATTCATCTTAGCAAATTCAAGGAATTGTTCTACTCCACTCTCATATTCATTTGTTGTTCGTCTATAATTGATCCAACTCCGATCCATTGTTACAAATCTAATTTTCTAAATCAAATTAGCTACGTAAACACGAAATAACTACATTATAATGCCTACACGAAATCCAACTCCACTCTCAAAATAACTACATTATAATACAAATCTAATGTTCAAAATCAAAATCACGAAAGAATGCCTACAGAAACACATTCAAATGACTAAACTACTTACAATACATCTCTAAATTAGCTAAAGGCACCCGTGATGTTTCCCTCTCTTGACAAGCATTATTACTTACTAGATTCAATACCGTAAACCTACATTGGCTAAAGCAAGCACGAAAACTTACCTCTTGAAGACCTACGAGAGGTGGCGGGTGGCGTGACGTGCGGAGCCGGGTGCGGGAGAAACGTATCCGAGGCGACGGGCACCGGTAGCGACGAGCGGCACGAAGCGTTGGCGGGTGGCGTGACGAGCAAATGTGGGTGCGGAGAAACGTATACAAGGGAACGGGGAGCTCGGTATGGGTGAACCGATGAAAGGAAATGGAGCGTAGGGAGAAACGTACGGGGAGCTCTGCTATGGGGGAAGTGATGAAATGAAATGGAGCGCGGGAGGAGGGTAAAACAGAAGATACTATGTCTGGTTGCTCTAACACCCGTCATCAAAGACACTTCTACGTCGGTTAAAATTTACCCGACATAGAAAGTTCACTTTCTACGTCGGGTAAATGTTACCCGACATAGAAAGTTAACTTTCTATGTCTGGTAAATTTTAACCGACGTAGAAAGTGACATTTCCACTTACTATGTCGGTTAAAACTTACCCGACATAGAAAGTTTATGATTTTATTACAAAATTGCCACCGCGCCACATACTATGACGGGTGGATTACGACCGTGATAAAAACCCGTCATAGAAAGCTATTTTTCCACTAGTGACATTTAATTAATATCCTTCTTTCTAGAAATATCTTTTAAAAAATTACCTATAAACCTAAGTAACCTTAGAATCAAACGAATAACTGATATTGTTCAATAAAAATTATTAGAAATTAAGGTTAATAATAATTTATATATATATATATATATATATATATATATATATATATTAATTTATTGAGATATTTTCTAAAAATAAAATATAACTTAAGCAAACAATATTTCATATGTAAAAATTAATTTTGATAATATTATTATAACGGAGATTACGCTTGCACTTTCTTTGCTTAAACAGAATAAATATAATAAATAATTAATAATACTAGAAATAGGTTAAAAGAGTGTTAATTATTTTTTTCCTATTCACAGAGAAAAAATAAAATAATAAATGATTAAAAGAGAAATTAAATAGATAAATTAATAAAATAAAAAATATCAGTTATATTTTTTCAGGTTAATTAATTAATTTATTATAAATTATAATATTATTTTAATTAGTATTTTTAGTTATATTAACCTCGACATAAAATTTATGTCTATTTAATTTAACAAAAATCATTAAATATTTTTATCTAACATTTATCTTATTATTATTTTATATATATTAGTATTATTCTTTTATTATATTAATCTACAAATAATATTATATTTAGGTAATCAATAAATGAAATAATATTATAATTCAGGAAAAATATTTTATATGGATATTCTAAATATTATAAGTAAAACTGGACTATTCACATTAACATATAATAATTTATATAAATAATCTAAAAAATATTTTATTTAAATATTCGTGTTAACTTATATATATATATATATATATATATATATATATATAATATTTTATCAGAATAATCTATTAATAATATATTCACTTATTTAAATTTTAAATTTCTATTCTAGAATTTTGTAATTTTTTATTATAATCATAAAGTGAGTAAATTTTTTATATTTTTTTATCTTTTATTATTATCATATTTTGTTTAAAATATTTTATTATTATTTTATTTTATTTTATTTAAATTATCTTGATCTTTATTTTTAAATATACATAATTATTAGTAAGTAAAAATTTTATGAAACAAAGAATAAATAAATGGATTAATAAAATAATAATCAAAGAAAGAAAAATTATATATAATATTCGAAAAATATACCATTGACTTTTGTAAATAGAAAACGAAAATTCAAGCACCTTAATTATTTCGGTAAATATAAATTACCAAGTACAAATTAAATTATTCATATATTGATTATAGAATTATATTTATGATACATTATTCTAAAATTGAAAGTATTGATGGTAATATATTATATTTCCAAAGTGAACCTTTTATGCATACATATTACTTTAATTACAAAACCATTATATCGCTCATAATTGTATTTTGGTGAAATTATCGTATATGTTCATTTTCTCTTTGAACTTATTCTCAAAGTTACTCTTATTTCAAAATTGTTTATTACTTGTTAGTAGTTATAGAATAATTCGAAACTTGTTTCAACTTATATAGGTTATCTTCTAGTAATCTAAATGTAATTAAGCATATGAATTTTAAGTTTATAATAATTAACTTACTATATAAGATATATGAAATAATATAACAATAAAAAATAATTTTACGAGAATGATAAAACTAATAAATTTTTAGTTTTATAATAATTTTTGTTGTTCCTGAAGTTTGAAGAGGACGTCCAAATTTCTCTTCAACAGTTGAGTAAATGCAGGAAGATATCTCCAAATGATTATTTGATGCTTCGTTTTGATAAATATACGAAAAAGAGTAGGTAGAATAAGAAGGAAAGAGTAGATGATGTTGCTGGAAATAACAACTCAAAACTTTTTTTTTCCCCCTCATTCGACCATTCAAAACATAAACAAATCCATAAATAATTAAGGTTGTGTTTATTTACTGTTTTTAAAAATAAATTTAGTTTTTTAAGTTTTAAGAGCTAAAAAACTTATATGGTATTTGTTAAAATAATTTTTGAAAATAGTTTTTTATTTTTTAAAAACTAAAAAAATTAAAACTGTAAAAATATTTTTTATTATAATTTTCTATCTTTTTTAGTAGATATTAATATTTTATCTAATAACTATATTACATTCCTCATTTTCATTATTATAAAACTTTAAATTTTAAAAATAGTTATTAATTAATTTTTAAAATTAATTTCTAAAACTGTTTTTAAAAATTAAAAAATAAAACTAAATCCAACAGCCTTAGAGTTTTTTTTTAATTTAGTTTTATTTTTTAATTTTTGAATAAATTTGAAAAATTATTTTTAAAAATAAATTAAAAAATGTATGTAAAATTATAAAATGATATAAATGACTAACAAAGTCGTAAGAAAAATTAATAACAATTTTAATGAATTTAAGATAATGAAAATAATTAATTTAATATAATTATCAATAAAAAATAGTACCCATTAACAAAAACATACAATCAACTAAACCAAACAACAACTTCTAAATTTTTTTTTGAGAAAACAATTATAAATAAGTTTTTTAATTTTTTAATTTTTAAAAACTAAAAATAATTTAAAAATAGGATACAAACAAGCCTTTACATACTATTTTTTCACCTTTATTTTCCCTTTGTTTGGCACACCAAAACTTTTTAATACAAACTAAACATTTTTTATGGGAATTTCTCTGTTAAAAAGATTGAAAAAAAATCAACAAAAAAGTTCTTAACAACTTATAAAGAAGTTTATAATTTTATATTCAATTTAATATTAAATATATGTTTATTTTAAAATTTGCACAACTTTTAATCCGTTACTAAAGAAAATTGTCGGATTCACCTTCATTGACCTTTTTAATAAAAAAAAGAAAAAAAAAACACAACTTAGAGTCTTAGATATATCCAAAGACATAAAACACGAAACAATCATTACAAAGTAGAATCATAAATTGACAACATGTGTTTAAAATAGTTCACAAACTTGGTGTGTAATGTAGAACATGGCAGATTTTGAGAAGCAAAAGCAATGCAATTTCTCTCAAACCATAAAATTGCATTACATATAATCAAAATGAAGCTATATCAGTTCTGCTATAGAAAAGGCCAGATGAACTATCATTGGGAAGCAGTGCTAGTCTCACAGGACCACAGCACCTTCTGCAGGAGTTAAGGAGCCAGTGAAGGCATTTATCTCTGTCTTCACATAACCAGGGCAAACACAATTGATGCAAAATGAAGGGTATTTCTTAGCAAGAATTCTTGTGTAGCCATGGTGATCAACATCACTCAACACTCCTCTCACCCATGATCCTTTTGGGAAACTCTGAATTTCACATGATTCAGCAATAAGAACTCATGCAAATTAAAGGAATAAGATATATATTATCTGAAAGAATTTGAGTGTGAAACAAACTGAAAATTTTGCTTCAACCTATAGAACTCTAATTAGAGTTGCTACTGGGCTTATTTCCTACTGTTATGAATAAATTTATTGACACAATTAATTACCTCTAACTGCCCCATAAAGGATGACACATTGACAACTCTTGGTGAATCAGATAACTTTAGGAGGGGCACGAGGGATTCCACAGTCATCTTGACTCCATAATAATTTATTTGCAAGCATTCTTCAGCTAAGTCGTATGTTTCAGTAATTCCCTTTCTTACTTCATCTTCTGATATTTCCTGAAAAATAATCAAAACTCAGCTAACAAGTTTTTATACCTCTAATAGTAATAAAGCAAGCATAACCTTTTCTGGAATGTGCAAGATTACACATCTATTTAGTAGTGTAGATCTGTTCCAAAATAAAATTCTCACCTGGTTTAACACAAGTGCAGTGAATATATTAATCACAGCTCCAAGAACTATGCTGCATTGTTAATCTGCATTGTGTACAACTTTTTCTTAAAATATGCAAACACCAAAATCAATGAGATTCATTCCCTTCAAAGAAATCAACAAAACTTATCAAAACACAAACTGTCATTTTAATCTCTTCTAATTCTAAAATAGATTAAAATGTTATGTTTGGATATTTTTTAAATATAAAAATTAAAAGTTTTTTTATTTGAACAAAAACTTTATAGAAGTTCAAACATGCAGGGCTTACATGATTTCTGTGACAAATTCCAATTAGAGCATATGGAAAATTTTTATTGTTGTTTTATTGAAAAATAAATTGAATGGTTGTGATATTAGCTAGAATTTAATAAAAAAATATTTTTTAAATCAACTTTTTTTCATGAATCTTGAAAGTTTGTAATTTATAATTGTTTTCTCACTGGAAACTGATTTTTTTTATTATATTCAAACAAAATTAATTATCTTAAAACTATAAGAAAAAGTAATTATAATCTTGATTAATTATATATAATCAAGTGTTTAAGTAATTAAATTTTCACAATACACAGAAAAAATATAAAACAAATACCAAAAGTTGCATGATAAGTTTCCAAAATTTGGATCTGATAAAATCTGTCAGAGAAGATACACTTGCAGCATCAGCCACATCTAGCTGATGAAACAGTACAAGGTGAGATAAACCTGAGGCTTTGAGTGTTTCCAATGCTTGAAGACCCTTCTCCTCATTTCTTGCTGTGACCACCACCTTGATTCCTGCTGATGCTAACTGTTTCACTATCTGTAAACCAATTCCTTTATTTGCACCTGTCACAATTGCATACCTGACAAACTCAACCCCCACCCCAAAAAGAATGCAGAAAAAATTCATCATTTGAGTTCAATCACAGAATTAAAAATTCAAACTTGAAAACAAATATGCAAGGATAAGAAATTCAGTGCTACCTTTCTGTAGCTTCTCCCATCTTGAGTTTCGACTTTCAAGACAGCTATTGCAAGCCTTTTGTGCTTGTTATTAAGGCTCTGGTTCTAATACTAAATATCAGTAAAATGTCACCAATAACAATGCTCAATCAATAAGGCCAGTTACGCTTTTAATATTAAATATCAAAAAAAATATTTGAATCTCTATTTATATTTAATTCAATTTAATAAAATTGACCTAAGATATATTATAATTTGAACATATTTTTCTGATGAAATTATCTCGATAGATTCTGACATCCTTTCACAATATCTCAATAAAATTTAGATCTAATTCATCGTTACAAAACCGTTTACAAGATGAAATTTGCATCTCTCATGTTTTATGATTTGATATTCCTAGTTAACTAAAATATTGAGCACGTGATCGGATTGGATATCTGAATATTTCTTTTTAAAAAAATTATTTTATTACTTTATATGAAAATATCTTCATACGCCTTGAACTACTATCTACCTGGAATCAGTTCACATGAATTTTGATCATCTAGTTATTGTAATTTTTGTTTCTCCTAAAACATTCCATGATAAATAAGGCCTTTCAGTATCATGTTGTTTGGATCAGAGGATTGATTTGAAAGAGTGAAAAAAGGATAGATTTGAGGGAAAAAAAAGGTGAAAATGTGATTGTTTGAAATAAGGGAAAGATGATAGGAAATGTAGGGAGATAAGAAGAAAATTTACGAAAGTTTATAAGTGATTTGATCGATCTGAATGGTAAAAAAAAAATTTAATAGAAAAATTTGGAAATCATTAAATTAACCCTCTGATGAGAATGGATAATCGATTATGTGCTGAAAATCGATTCTCTAACAGGAATATTTGTATAAATATATACGAGGTGAACTTTCTTTCTCGTCTCATCTCTGTAGAATCTCCATCCCCTTCCTCCCTCAAATCTACACTCTCAAATCCACTTTATTCACTCTAAACAACCACAAAAGTCACCTACTCTTCCATTCATCTAATAATATATCATTGGAAACAAAGAAAGTAGAAAGTGTGGAACCATGAAAGTTTGTCCATTTTGTGCCATAAAAATATAAAAAATTGATGAACATGTTTTTTTACATCTATATATTATTCTAGGCTAGTAAATTTGTTTGGGAAGTACAAAAGTTTTACCATGTATTTAATGACCAAGCTCCACTATTTGGCCATAAATAGCAAGCATCAGATATAGGATAAATTTCTTGCATTCCAAAGTTGTAGATTCTCATTTTAGAGTTAGAAGTAAAAGTGGTTTAACCGAGTATATTCTCTTACTATGACAAAAATGTAACTGTTCCCTTCTATCTTTCTTAATGAACATGTAAAAGAATGTTATTCAGTTCTTTTCTCTTTTCCAATTACAACAGAATTTGATGTTATTTTAATAGAAAAAATTTCCATGTATAACTCTTTTAATTTCTTCAAATCTTATAAAGTGCTTTGAACTTTTACAAATTTTCATCCCGAGAAATATGAATTAGAAAATAGGCTCAGAAAACATAGTGTGTAATTCAGAATAGTAAATTGGCAACATGATAATGTCCTTATGCAAATACAACATGATATAATGTGCTTGAAATAGGCTCAACAATTGAGAAGCAAAAGCAATTCATTTTGTCCTCAAACCATAAGTTGCATCAATCATCAAAAGGAAGCCACATTACTCTCGTGATAGAAAAGCCCAGATGGACTACCATTGGGAAGCAGTGCCAGCCTCACAGGACTAGCAGCACCTTCTTCAACTGTTAGGAGGCCAGTGTTGGCTGTTATATCTGTCTTCACATAACCAGGGGAAACACTATTGATGCAGATTGAAGGGTATTTCTTAGCAAGGATTCTAGTATAGGCATTCATAGCAGCTTTGGAGACAATATAGGCACTAAGATACCTTGGCCATCCTTGACTCTCCAATGATCCTTCTTGGAAATCTTTGAGAAACTTGGTCAATATTTCATCCACTTTCTCTTCACTGAGGTTATCAACATCACTGAAGACTTCTCTGGCCCATGATTCTTTTGGAAAGCTCTGAATTTGACATGGTTAAGCAATAAGACCTCATTCAAATTAAAGGAAACGAGATACAATAATAAACTAATATCTATTAGTAGAAAAATTTGAATAAACTGAAGATTTTACTTGAACAATATATAGAATGCTAATTAGAGATGGTATTAGCATTCATATGACTTCATATTAGTGTGGTGATCCATTTCTTATAACCAGGCTTGTTTCAGTTAGGAATCCTGATATTCCTAATAATATTGTAGATGCGGTTGAACCAAACAAGGCAAAACATTGGTTAGTTTATTCTAGGAGAAAGAAATCTGTTAATAAAAGTAGTTAGAAGTTGTTAGTTGATTCTGTTCAACTGTTTCTGTTTAACTGTTCCTGATCAACTATTAATAAGAGTTGATAGAAGTGCTTTGGAAGGGGGAGTATTTTTGGAGGGTTGTTTTGTAAATCTAACAGAGAACCTTTCTCTGAGGAGCCTAGCTCTGGAGGTTGCTTGTATTCTTGTATCTGTTCTAGAATTCATGAAGATTTTCTTTCATTCTTTCTTCTTTATCTTGGCATTTTCCCTTAAAACATATCATTGGTCCGACCTGCCGGATATTGTAAGGGAAATCCATCCAGAATTTTTTTCAATGACGAGACGTGGAGCACCTGAGACCATGCGGGGGGAGGCGACAGAGGAAAGATTGAGTTCCTTGGAAGAAAAACTTGACGCCTTCATGGAGACGGTGGCAAGAAGGTTTGAGGCGTTAGTGGAGATGGTGCAGAATTCTGGCAGCAAGCAGACAGGAAGGGAGAATGATTGCGGTGAAGACCGGGAAACGATGAACGAATTTCATATGATGGCCAAGAAGGTGGAACTGCCTTCTTTCAATGGGATGGACCCTAGAGGGTGGATTACTAGAGCTGAGACATATTTTGAGGTGTAAGGCATTTCGGAATTTAACAAGATTAGATTGGCAAGATTAAGCATGGAGGGGGGAATCATCCACTGGTTTCAAACGTGGCTGGATTCGGAGGGCACTCCCAGTTGGGAATCATTCAAGAATGCTCTAAGAATACGTTTTGGGGGTGGATGCTTGGATGATCCGTTTGAGGAGCTGGCTGATCTTAGGCAAGAGGGTTCGGTGGAAAAGTATATTGAAATCTTTGAGTTTCTTGCTGCCCAAGTGGGTCGTTTACCAGAAAATCAGTTTGTAGGCTTCTTTATGAAGGGATTGAAGGATCAAATTCAATTGTGAGTGCGCATATTGCAGCCCAAAAACCGATTGGACACCATTCGCATGGCATGGTGTGTGGAGGCCAAGATTTGTGGGACGATTGTCATCAATGTTGCTAGAAGTAAATCTTAGAGTAATAATTTGAATCTCTCCCGTGGATTCAGAGGAAATGTGGTGCATTCTTAGCAAGAAAACACTCAAACGCATGGAGATGTGAGGTTTAAAGGAACAGCCAAAGGTGATAATTTTCTGGAAGGAGATCTGAAGCTTCAGTAGGGTCTTCATCTGTGAACCAGCAGAGTTTCCAACTGTCTTACAGAGATAGGGGAGTTAGGCATCTTTCTAATAAGGAGGTTGAGGAAAGGAGAAATAAGGGGTTTTGTTTCAGGTGTGGAGACAAATACCATCCCCTACATGTGTGTGCTGACCGGCAGGACAGACAGTTAAGGTTGGTGATTTTGGGTGCCGATGAGAGTCTCAATGATGAAGGGGAGATCACTAGGGGTGAAATTGATGATGTGGAGATTGAGGGGGAACAGTTGGACTGTAATTCTATGGATTTGTTGGGGCTGAATGGTGATTATCATGGTGAAATTCATGCCATGAGATTGGAAGGAAAATTGGGAGAAATTCCCATAATTGTGCTAGTGGACAACGGGGCTAGCCACAACTTTATTTCACCCAAAGTGGTCCAGGCTTTGGGCTTAATGGTGGAAGAGGCTGATGGTATTGGAGTAAAATTGGGGGATGGTCGTAAGGCTAAAACATGGGGTATTTGTCCTAAAATTCAATTAGATATGGGTACAATTTAAATACAAATTGATGCTCATGTTCTGGAGCTTGGAGGTTTGGATTTAATTTTGGGAATGGCATGGCTGAAAACCTTGGGAAAAATGGTTATTGATTGGAAGGACTAGTCCATGTCTTTCCAGGACAATGGACTTGTGGTGGAATTAAGAGGTATTGGCAGCAGTAGAGAGAAGTTGATTCCTTCACTCAATGAGCTTCTTGGTGATCAATTTTGTACTGTAAAGGGGTTAAATTGGAAAAAGGGAGTGTTGAATACAGTTATAGGAGATAGTGACTTGGAGCAACAGCAGCTGCAACAATTACAACAATTACTGCAACAGTATGTCATCATATTTGAGGAGTTGCAGGAATTACCACCTAAGAGAGAGGTTGAACACTCTATAACTCTTTACCCAGGTGCGGGCCCTGTTAGCATGAGGCTATATCGATACCCCCATCATCATAAGGATGAAATTGAGAAACAGGTGAGCGAACTCTTGGAGGCAGGAGTTATTAGACGTAGCAACAACTCCTATTCCAACCCTGTCATTTTGGTTAAAAAGAAGGACTTTTCATGGAGAATGTGTGTGGATTATAGAGAGTTTAACAAGGTGACAGTTCCCAATAAGTTTCCTATCCCTGTTGTAGATGAATTATTGGATGAACTGCATGGGATGAGTTATTTTTCTAAGCTGGATTTACGTTTGGGGTATCACCAAATACGTGTGAAGGAGGAAGACATCGAGAAAACTGCTTTTAGGACACATGAAGGACATTATGAGTACTTGGTTATGTCTTTTGGGTTGATGAATGTCCCAGCTACATTTCAATCTATCATGAATGAGGTGTTTAGGCCTTTTCTTCGTCACTTCGTTTTTTTTTTTTTTTTATGATATACTGGTTTATAGTGACAACTGGTCTGCCCACATATCACACTTATATAAGGTGCTGGATATTCTCAAGAAGCATCAATTTGTTGCTAATAAAAAAAACTGCAGCTTTGGAAGAAGACAGGTTAAGTATTTGGGTCATGTTATTTAAAAAAAAGGGCTACTATGATCCTACCAAAATCAGCAGTATTTTAAGTTGGCCTATTCCAAAGAATGTTAAGGGAGTGAGAGGTTTTTTGAGGCTGACTGGATATTATAGAAAGTTTGTGTTGGATTATGGGAAGATGGTCAAGCCTCTTACTAAATTAACTAAGAAGGAAGCTTTTGTATGGAATGAAAAGGATGAAATAGCTTTTCAGTGGTTGAAGCAAGCTATCACTACTGCCTCTATTTTACGTTTGCCTAATTTTTCACAAGAGTTTCAGATTGAATGTGATGCATCTGGTAGTGGAATTGGGGTTGTTCTCATGCAGCATTATCATCCTATAGCTTTTTTTAGTAAGGCTCTCTCGGTTGGACAGTTGTCCAAATCTGCCTATGAACGTGAGTTGATGGCTTTGGTGTTATCCTTTCAACATTGGCGCCACTATTTGATTGACAAGAAGTTCACTGTTTTTTCAGACCAAAGGAGTTTGAAGGAGTTATTACAACAGAAGATTACTACATTAGCCCAACAACATTGGTTGTCTAAATTGCTTAGGTATCAATTCTCTATTGTTTACAGATCTAGACGTGAAAACAAGGTTGTGGATGCCCTTTCTCGGGTTCACGAAGAAATTCAGTTGAATTCTATTATGTCTTATCCTTTATGGTTACAGGGTGAGGAATTAAAAAAAGAAATTCAGGAAGATGCATCTATTCAGCGAATAAAATCTGAACTTTTACAAGATCCTGCTAGAAGGAAAGGGTTTGTTGTGCTCAATGGAATCTTGCTTTATAAAGGGAGTATAGTTATACCAGCTAACTCTTCTTACATTTCCAAGTTATTGGAGGAGTTTCATGCTTCTCCTGAAGGAGGATATTCTGGGTTCTTAAAAACTTATAGACGACTTGCTGGAAACGTTTATTGGGTGGGTATGAAGAAGAAAATTTTAGAGTATATATGTGAGTGTGATGTGTCTCAACGTCAAAAGTATACTGCTACTGCACTAGGGGGATTGTTGCAGCCCCTTCCTATTTTTTCTCATATCTGGGAGGATATATCTCTAGATTTCATTACTAGGCTGCCCAAATCCAAAGGTTATGAAGCTATTTTGGTTGTTGTGGACAGGTTATCTAAATATGGGTACTTCATACTCCTCAAGCATCCTTTCACCGCTAGGACAGTAGCTGAAATTTTTGTTAAGGAGGTGGTGCGTTTGCATGGCATTCCATCTTCTATTGTGAGTGATAAGGATCCTCTCTTTATTAGCAGTTTTTGGAAAGAACTTTTCAGTTTACAGGGAACTAAACTCAACATGAGCTCTTCATACCATCCTGAAACAGATGGTCACACGGAGGTTTTAAATAGGTGCCTTGAAAGCTATTTAAGATGTTTTACGTCAAAACAACCTAGAAATTGGTCTTTGTGGGTTCATTGGGCTGAATTTTGGTACAACACGTCCTTCCATACTGCTATTGCCATTACTCCCTTTGAAATTGTTTATGGGAGACCACCCTCACGAATTATCAGATTTCTTCCAGGAGAGACTAAGGTACAAGTTGTTGCCCATGATCTTGCTGATAGAGATGAAGCTCTTGCTCAACTGAAATTTCATCTAGATAAGGCCCAGCGATTAATGAAACACTATGCTGACAAGAAGAGGAAGAATATATCATTTCAGGAGGGTGAATTTGTTTTTCTAAAGCTACGTCCTTACAGGCAACAGTCAGTAGCTAAACGCATCAATCCCAAACTAGCTGCTCGATTCTATGGGCCTTATAAAGTTTTGCAGAAGTTGGGTGAAACTGCAGTTGCCTGAGTCATATAGAATTCACCCTATTTTTCATGTCTTTCAACTAAAACGGGTTGTTGGGAATTATTCCTCTTCTTCCGAGTTACCTACTGGATTTGAGGTGGAATTAGAAGTGGTTGTTGAACCAGAAGAAGCGTTAGCACAAAGGGAGATACTTAAGCACAATGCTCTTTGCAAGCAATGGTTGATTAAGTGGAAGCACTGTCTACCAGAAGATACAACATGGGAGGATGAAGATGTTTTGAAGCAACAATTTCCTAATTTCCGACTTGGGGACAAGTTTGTTCTCCTAGGAGGGGAGAATGTTAGGAATCCTGATATTCCTAATAATATTGTAAATGTTGTTGAACCAAACAAGGCAAAACATTAGTTGGTTTATTCTAGGAGAGAAATGTGTTAATAAAAGTAGTTAGAAGTTGTTAGTTGTTTCTGTTCAACTATTTCTGTTTAACGGTTCCTGATCAACTATTAACAAGAGTTGATAGAAGTGCTTTGGAAGGGGGAATATTTTTGGAGGGTTGTTTTGTAAATCTGGCAGAGAACCTTTCTCTGAGGAGCCTAGTTCTGGAGGTTGCTTGTATTTTTGTATGTGTTCTGGAATTCAAGAAGATTTTCTTTCATTCTTTCTCTTTATCTTGGCATTTTCCCTCAAAACATATCAGTTTCCTTCTACTATAAAAAACATTTTCTATACTGTCTTTGTTTAAACTCAAGATTACTATTTATAAATTATAACACCCTCTAGAAGAGATGATTGGAACTTGGAAGATGCTATACTGTCTTTGTTTAAACTCAAGATTACATAAAATTTGGATTGATAATTTATCTACTATGCAGAACAGATCAAACTAGAACTAACTAGTATTTTAAGTCATCAAGAGTAGGTTACTCATTCCAGTCAGCTACCTGAAACCAGAATTTCAAGTTTAATCTTCCTTTACTCTTTCCAGTCAGATTTTATGCAAAAACATAAAAAATTCACTGGCACAAGAAGTTTTTTCCTACCTCTAACTGCCCCAAAAGGGATGATACATTCACAATTCTTGGTGAATCAGATAATCGGAGGAGGGGCATAAGTGATTCTACAGTTATTTTGGCGCCATAGTAATTTATTTGCAAGCATTCTTCAGCTGACTCGTATGTTTGAGTGACTGCCTTTGTTCCAACTTCTTCCGTCACAGCCTGCAGAATAATGACACCTTAATACTCTATCACAGATGTTTTTCAAACCTCTAACAATATTTTCGGATCCAAAGACAATCACAACCTTTATAACAACCACATTTCTCATGTACTAACATTGCAAAAATGGCAAATTCCAACATTCTGAATACTAACAAGATAAGCAGGATAGTTTAAGTTGACATATTAGACATTGTTGAAATGCCTAAGCTTTAATCAGAATTAATAAAAGTTTTCACTTTGTTATCAAGTTACGGATAAGCTGTTCAATAAGAAGATACCGTAATTCAGAGAGTTTGAATAGTATAAAGTCGTTCTTGGTTGGTCTTGACTCAATCCCAGAAGCTAATTGTTGAGATTTGGATTGTCCAATCCTCTATAAGGTTTACTTTGACCATACTTATCGTTGGTATTTAAAATGGTCTATATTAGAAAAGTAGCAAACTTAGGTCCCTTTTGCAAGGTGTGCAACTTTCCACATCTATTAATTAGAATTTAGAAAAGGCCTAGATACTTACCCCACGATTGAAGAGGACTGAGGTGAACAAATCAGTGTCTTTAATTGCTCCTCCACCAATCCCTGCATTGTTAACCTGCATTGTACAATTTTCCTTAATGAAATATGCCAACATCAAAATGAGAGGTCATGAGATTCCCTTTAAAGCAATCAAGAAAAATTATCATAACTCAATATCTGGATATGAACGAAATCTGTCAAATTGGTAAACTATACACTGAATCTTACTTAATACCAAATGATGACATAATGGAAGATGCAAAAGAGCATAATCTGATACATGATGAAGAGAGTTTACGCCAAATAAAGAGAGTAAAATAAAACATATTTGGCACATTAGAACAACAACTAACATTCTAACAATGAATAACAGCAGTAGCAACATAGTACACCAACATGCAAAGGGAACTAAGAGAAAAGTAAAAAATAATATTCAGAATCATACATAAAGAAAATTAATTACATGCATTTCTGCAGTTTTAGGATTTCTGTGACAGACTTTCATTTACAACCAACTCTGAAAAAAAAAAAAAAAAGGATAGGAGAATCAAGTTGCATTTTACCAGAATATCAAGTTTCCCACATTCAGATTTGATAAAATCAGCCAGAGAAGCTACACTTGTTGCATCAGCCACATCCACCTGATGAAACATTACAAGGTGAGATAAACCTGAGGCTTTGATAGTTTCCATTGCATGGAGACCCCTCTCCTCATTTCTTGCTGTGAGCACCACCTTGATCCCAGCTGAAGCTAACTGCTTAACTATCTCTAATCCAATTCCTTTATTTGCACCAGTCACAACTGCATACCTGATAAACTCAACCCCACAAAGGTTAAAAGGGATTCAGAAAGTGTAAGATTTGAGTTCAACAATAGAACTGGAATTTGGAAGTTGAAAAACAAAACAAAAAAACTACAAGAATGTCAATGTTCTACCTTTCTGTTGCTTCTCCCATCTTGAGTATAAACTTACAAGTCAATGGCTGATGAGGTATGTCTGCAACTCTAATAAATATATAAAAAAAAAAAAAAAATGCTTCACTTTCTTGTATTTTGAACTTATCATATTTTAAAATTTATTCTCTTGTATTCTATAGCGGTGAAAATAAATTCACAGTGCTTGAAGTTTGATCCATTTGTAATTAGTCAACATGATTTTTTTTTTAAGTTAAATTGTTCCTCTTCCGCAAATTAATTAATATTTTATCCCAGGACTAATGATTCCCTATAAAGATAAAAATACAGAACAGAAGGTTGTGAAAAAAAAATAAAAATTCAAAGTACAGAACAGATGACATGGTCTTCTTCGCCGAAGTTAGATTTTTATTTTACTGTCTTATATAATGATAGTAAATGAATGAAAGAATAATGAATGTACATAATAATAATAGATGAAAAGGCTAGGGATGTGAACACGGACAGTGCGCCCCTACCTTTGGTCCGTTTGTCCTTCTTATTTTTGGTCCGTTAAAAAGGATAGGGGGACGGGCTGGCCCATTATAGTCATAATGGGCTGGAGATCGATCCGTCCTATCAAGAGGCGGATTAGCGGGTTGACTCAGCCATAATTTAAAAAAAAATAATTTATTTTTAAAAATCAAAATTTTCAATAAATTTAATAATAAAATTATTATTTATTTGGTAATAATTTAATATATATATATATATATATTATTTCAATTTAATAATATAAATCAATACATTGTTTTAAGAAATTATAATTTAGAATAATAATAAAATTTACATAATAATAAATAATAACAAATATATATATATATATATAACGTTAAAATTTATATTTTTTATATTGAAAAATTCAAACACCTATATCTTTTTTATTTGATAAATTTTCATATTATTCGTGCTTTAGTAATTTTTACATCTTTAATTCAAGTCATAAGGATAAAAATAATCGAGTACTTAGGAGAACAAAAAGAGCAGGAGAGAGAATGTTGTATTTCGCCAAGGAGAATATTTTTTGTGAAAGTGAAACTTTTTTAATTCTCTTTTTAAAATTTTTTAACTTTATATATTATCTTTATAATTAACTTTATTATAATAAAAAAATACTTTTTTATTAATTAGGTGGGCCGGGGCTGACCAACTCCATCCCACGGGCTGACCCGACAGGTTGGCAGGCTTAGCGGGACTAGCTAAAGCGGGTTGAAAATATCAATCCGCCCCTCCATATTATAGTGAGCTGGCAGGTCGTCCCGCGAATCTTACCCGTTTTGTTATCCCTAAGCAAATAATCCCAATTGTAGGCAGATAATCCTAGGCAAATATCAATCGTTCTTTTGAGGATTAGAATTCCTTCTAACTAATGGATATGGATCCTGTTAATTGGAAATTGATAAAGACACCCCTTATGTGATTGACCTGTTAGTTTTCAACTAATGGATATGGATCCATTTACTATTGCACTGGGCCATTTGACACAAAAATAACATAATTGATACAATTGAAACATGCTCTTTATTTTTATTCTTTGCACCCTATAATTTCTTCATGCATCTTCACCCCCCTAAGTTAAACACTTTTCTCATAATTTTGTTTTTTATCTTAACTTCTTCTTTTTCTATTTGTGTACAACTTCTACATCTCCATCCCTTGAGTATTTAATTTTTTTGTGCTATCACCTCTATTGAAAGTTTTCTCTAATAATTAAATATAAGTAATCATTAATATTATGTATGAATTATATGTTCTTGTACTCAAATTACATCAATAGACTCAAATTATTCAATCTAAAATAGTATCATGAAAAATGAGGTTGAATTCTAAAAAATTCAATCAAGAAATGCATTTTGGATTCAGTGTTTTGGAATATGTGTTAGAAAAATAGTTGTAGAATGTGTTTTTAGAAAAAATAATCAAAAAATATATTCTTGGTTGATTTTTCATAAACGCATTTCATAATATGTTTTAGAATGTATTTTTAGAAAGGTTAATTTAAAATATATTGAAAAGATGAAGATAAAGATAAATATAAATATAAAATAGAATTTAATTTAATTATTAGGAGGTAGGAAGAAATTATGGAGATGCATCAAACAAGAGCTTGAAACATATTATAAGGGAAGTTATCAGTGAATAATTGAAGGAGAAAAAATGAAGCATAAGATTAAGAAAAATACCAAATTTTGATTTCTGAGTTTCTACTGTCCTAAATTGAATGCCAGTTTGTAGATTTTTTTTCTTATTGCGACGTGGTGGATTTCGCAAGCCAATTTTCAACTTAAGGGAGTAGAATTTAATGATGATTGTGGTGGTCCAGTTGAACTCAATTTTCAAAGTTAAGTGGGGAAAAATGGGAAAGATGAGTCAGTGTAGATAAATAAGGTGAATTTTTCGAAGTTGGAACAGATCTTTGGTGGCATCATTGCACAGAGTCATTCCAATTTTTCAACATGATATCGGGGAATGTCCACTTTCTTCAATTGTCTACTAGTCCCCTCCATTTCTTAAAAAACCAAAATGCATGATGTTTACGGTAGATATGCATGCGAGTGTTTGTTTTTTCCTAAATGTTATCATGTTTTATGATAGTATTTTTTTCAAAAGTAAACTACTTATATGAATTTAATGTTTGTGAACAAGGTCCTATTTTTATTTGATTGAATTTTTGTTTTTATATCCTTTTATCTCTTCCGTTGGATTGCGTGACTTACTTAGCTTATAGAGGACCTGAAACCAGGCTAGCTAAAAAGCAAACTGTCCGAGATAAAATGGTTTATTGCGAAAGAATAATCTTAATGTCTCTTATCTCTTCTGTCGGATTGTGTGGCTACTTAGCTTACAAAGAACCTGAAATCAGGCTAGCTAAAAGGCAGACTGTCCGAGATAAGGGTGTTTATTGCGAAAATATTTTGGTGGTTTTCCTTTTTTATCTGTTGTATGGTTATGCTATGCAATCAAATGAAACAAATGCACACACAATTCACTCATTCGCGAACAAGTAGGATGACGTTTTAATTATGAGGTAGGGTTTTCCTGCAGAAAAGTGCATTGGCAAAGGTAGGTTCTAATTGTTCTCACCAAGGCTAGACCCCCAAGGTGCCCCCATTATAGGGTCCCCACTCTCCAGCCTTCCGACCATGTTTGGCACTAAGGTCGTAGTCAGTCTTTGTGCCAAAAGAGGAAGGTTATCACCTTGAGTGGTGGTTTCCGATCATACCAGTGGGCTCATGACCCTCACTACGGCAAACCGTACCTGCCACCCACTCCCTATGAATTTCTCACTTGCCCTCGGGTATAGAGGGAACTGGTGTGTGCAAAAGGGTTTGTGTACATTTTGTATTTCAAACAATTGCGTAAAATAAGCAAACAACAGTTATTAAAACAAAATGACTTTTTATATCTATTAAAGCAAACAACAGTTATTAAAACAAACAATTTTGTATCTATTATGTTATTTTTATGTCAAATGGCCCAGTAGTAAATGGATCCATATCCATTAGTTGAAAACTAACAGGGTCAATCACATAAGGGGTGTCTTTATCAATTTCCAATTAACAGGATCCATATCCATTAGTTAGAAGGAATTCTAATCCTCAAAAGAACGGTTGATATTTGCCTAGGGATTATCTGCCTACAATTGGGATTATTTGCTTAGGGATGACAAAACGGGTCAGGCTCGCGGGGTGACCTACTAGCTCACTATAATATGGAGGGACAGATTGATATTTTCAACCCGCTTTGGCTAGTCCCGCTAAGCCCGCCAACCTGTCGGGCCGGCCGCAGGATGGAGTTGGTCGACCCCGACCCACCTAATTAATAAAAAATTATTTTTTTATTATAATAAAGTTAATTATAAAGATAATATATAAAGTTAAAAATTTTAAAAGAGAATTAAAAAAGTTTCACTTTCACAAAAAATATTCTCCTTCGTTGAAACACAACATTCTCTCTCTTGCTCTATTTGTTCTCCTAAGCACCGATTATTTTTATCCTTATGACTTGAATTAAAGATGTAAAAATTACTAAAGCACGAATAATATGAAAATTTATCAAATAAAAAAGATATAGGTATTTGAATTTTTCAATATAAAAAATATAAATTTTAACGTTATATATATATATATATATATATTTGTTATTATTTATTATTATGTAAATTTTATTATTATTCTAAATTATAATTTCTTAAAACAATGTATTGATTTATATTATTAAATTGAAATTATATATATATATATATTAAATTATTGTCAAATAAATAATAATTTTATTATTAAATTTATTGAAAATTTTGATTTTTAATAATAAATTATTTTTTTCTAAATTATGACGAACCAATCTGTCAATCCGCCCCTTGATAGGACGGATCAATCTTCAGTCCATCATAACTATAATGGGTTAACTCATCCATTCTTTATTCTTTCATTCATTTACTATCATTATATAAGACAGTAAAATAAAAATCTAACTTCGGCGAAGAAGACCATGTCATCTGTTCTGTACTTTGAATTTTTTTTTTTTTTTCACAACCTTCTGTTCTGTATTTTTATCTTTATAGGGAATCATTAGTCCTGGGATAAAATATTAATTAATTTGCGGAAGAGGAACAATTTAACTTAAAAAAAAATCATGTTGACTAATTAAAAATGGATCAAACTTCAAACACTGTTAATTTATTTTCACCGCTATAGAATACAAGAGAATAAATTTTAAAATATTATAAGTTCAAAATAAAAGAAAGTGAAACATTTTTTTTTTTTTTTTTTTATATATTTATTAGAGTTGCAGACATACCTCATCAGCCATTGACTTGTAAGTTTATACTCAAGATGGGAGAAGCAACAGAAAGGTAGAACATTGACATTCTTGTAGTTTTTTTGTTTTGTTTTTCAACTTCCAAATTCCAGTTCTATTGTTGAACTCAAATCTTACACTTTCTGAATCCCTTTTAACCTTTGTGGGGTTGAGTTTATCAGGTATGCAGTTGTGACTGGTGCAAATAAAGGAATTGGATTAGAGATAGTTAAGCAGTTAGCTTCAGCTGGGATCAAGGTGGTGCTCACAGCAAGAAATGAGGAGAGGGGTCTCCATGCAATGGAAACTATCAAAGCCTCAGGTTTATCTCACCTTGTAATGTTTCATCAGGTGGATGTGGCTGATGCAACAAGTGTAGCTTCTCTGGCTGATTTTATCAAATCTGAATGTGGGAAACTTGATATTCTGGTAAAATGCAACTTGATTCTCCTATCCTTTTTTTTTTTTTTTTTCAGAGTTGGTTGTAAATGAAAGTCTGTCACAGAAATCCTAAAACTGCAGAAATGCATGTAATTAATTTTCTTTATGTATGATTCTGAATATTATTTTTTACTTTTCTCTTAGTTCCCTTTGCATGTTGGTGTACTATGTTGCTACTGCTGTTATTCATTGTTAGAATGTTAGTTGTTGTTCTAATGTGCCAAATATGTTTTATTTTACTCTCTTTATTTGGCGTAAACTCTCTTCATCATGTATCAGATTATGCTCTTTTGCATCTTCCATTATGTCATCATTTGGTATTAAGTAAGATTCAGTGTATAGTTTACCAATTTGACAGATTTCGTTCATATCCAGATATTGAGTTATGATAATTTTTCTTGATTGCTTTAAAGGGAATCTCATGACCTCTCATTTTGATGTTGGCATATTTCATTAAGGAAAATTGTACAATGCAGGTTAACAATGCAGGGATTGGTGGAGGAGCAATTAAAGACACTGATTTGTTCACCTCAGTCCTCTTCAATCGTGGGGTAAGTATCTAGGCCTTTTCTAAATTCTAATTAATAGATGTGGAAAGTTGCACACCTTGCAAAAGGGACCTAAGTTTGCTACTTTTCTAATATAGACCATTTTAAATACCAACGATAAGTATGGTCAAAGTAAACCTTATAGAGGATTGGACAATCCAAATCTCAACAATTAGCTTCTGGGATTGAGTCAAGACCAACCAAGAACGACTTTATACTATTCAAACTCTCTGAATTACGGTATCTTCTTATTGAACAGCTTATCCTTAACTTGATAACAAAGTGAAAACTTTTATTAATTCTGATTAAAGCTTAGGCATTTCAACAATGTCTAATATGTCAACTTAAACTATCCTGCGAATTGATCCTACAGGTTGATAAGTTTAACAGACTGAATCAAAGTGGACTGATGGACTAAAAATATCAACTCATCCGAACATATTATAACGAATTGGAAGGTCGGCCCCTTTTACCTTTATAGGCAAATAATACTAATTGTAACTAAAAGAAAGAAACCCGGTACATGATTTGTCGTTTCAACAGTTCTTTTGAGGATTAGAATTCCTTCTAACTAATGGATATGAATTCTGTTAATTGTAAATTGATAAAGACACCCCTTAATTGGTTGACCCTGTTAGTTTTCAACTAATGGATATGGATCCATTTATTATTGCACTGGGCCATTTGAGACAAAAATAACATAATAGATACAATTGAAACATGCTCTTTATTCTTTATTCTTGCACCCCATGATTTCATGCACCTCCACACCCCAAGTCATACACTTTTCTTATAATTTTGTTTTTTATCTTAACTTTTTTTTCTTCTATTTGTGTACAACTTCTACGTCTCCATCCCCTGACTATTTAATTTTTTTATGCTATTACCTCTATTGAAAGCCTTTTCTAATAATTAAAGATAAATAATCATTAATATTATGTATGAATTACATGTTATTACATTCAAATTGTATAAATAGACTCAAATTATTCAATCTAAAATAATATTATTAAAATGAAGTTGAATTCTAAAAAAGTTTTGATTTTGAATTTAGTGTTTTAGAATGTGTGTTAGAAAGATCAATCCTAAAATATAATTTGGATTAGTTGTTGTAGAATGTGTTTTCAGAAAAAGTAATCTAAAAATATATTCTTGATTTATTTTTAGAAGGTGTTTCTAGAAAGGTTAATTTGAAATATATTGAAAAATTTAATGATGATTGTGGTGGTCGAGTTGAACTCAATTTTGAAAGTTAAATTTTTTAAAGTTAAGTGGGAAAAAACGAGAAAGATGATCATGAAGATGAGTCAGTATGGATAATTACAGATATATTTTTTTTATTATTATAAAATTATATAGAAATTTAAGGAAAAATAATATATATTTTATCTTTATAGTTTTTTAATACCAATAAAATAATAATAATAATAATAATATTATTATTATTATTATTATTGTAAGGGTTTCTTTAAAATAAACAACAAAAGGTAAAAGGAAAAACAACTCTATTTTCAATTTATTTAAATTTTGATATGAAATTAAAATCTATGTATACTTTTATAGAAAGTTGAGTTTTATCACGACCCTTGTGTTACATTTTCAAATATCTTTTGTTTTCATAATGCGTCATAAAGATATTTTTATAAAATGAGGAAAGAAGTGCAAAACAAAAAAATTATAACACGTGTCGAAAGAAGAGAAAGGAGACGTCAACATCAGAAATAATAAATAATGTCAGTATCAAATCAATTAAAACCACACAAATTAGGGTTCTCAGAAGAATTTGTCGCTCTCAATTTATCTTCCCAAAAATACAAAATATATCATGACCTTCACGTACCCAATTTTCGAAGTCACCATCACATGATGGACCACGGAATCAATGACTACTAAAGTAAACAAAATAGAATAAATCATTATAATAAATTATTTATAAAACAAATAAACTACAATTGATCAAAATAATAATAATAATAATAAATAATTAAATATTTGATAAATAATACTTGCAAGTTATATATTTACAAAGTGATAAACAAATAATAATAATAAAATTTTTAATTCGTATTGAATAAAGTAAAACGTGGATGAATTAAAATGAAAGCTGAAACAATGATTTTCATTTTTCATATATATTTCAAAGGTCAAATCATATTTACTTTCATTAGTCTAATTTTTCTCTTATATATATATATGGTAAATCGAGAAAATAAATTCTCCTTTTATTTAAATTATTATTTTTTAATCACTTAATATAATTTTTAAAATTGATTTTAGTTCATCAAATTTTATTTTTAGAGGTTAAAATCATTTTTAAGACTTTTTTTCTTCATTAGGATAACCAAAATCAAATGCTCCTTCATAAAATTGAATTTCCGTACTTCTTCTCCTTGACTAGTTGAGATGACAAAATGGACTATCTATACTTGACTAGTTCAGGTGACAAAATAGACTATGTATACTAAAATTTTAACTTATTCTGCCCATCTCGTCAACCGATAAATTAACAACCCGATAAATTAAGGACAGATAAATATAATAATTATTTTAATTTATCTAATAAAAATATTAATTAATAAAAAAAATTAAAAATTATTTATACAATTAAAGATATTTAAAAAAAATATACATATAAAAAATATTAGTATACTGATCCGTTAGTCTATTAGATTAAAATTTGTGATCCTTCCTATTTTAGGCGGATTAGAAAGAAGGTAATCTAGCATGTGATGACATTCTAGGTTCATCCCTTTTATTTGAGGACGATAATCCAACTTTAAATACAATAGCCAACAACAGTACTATGTATGCAGCAAAAGAACAATAAAAATCATGTTTGTAAAATTATTGCATACAAATTTAAGACTTTCTCAAGATCTAAACAACACAAGTTAATACAACATGATATAATGTGCCTAAAATAGGCTCAATGAACATTGTGATAGAGTAGAAGGAAAAACAGTATTTTGCATCAAACCATAAAATTGCATTACATATCAGAAGGAAGCCACATGACTCATCTGATAGAAGAGACCAGATGAACTACCAGTGGGAAGCAGTGCTAGCCTCACAAGATTCTCAGCACCTTCTTCAACTGTTAGGAAGCCAGTGTTGGCTGTTATATCTGTCTTCACATAACCAGGACAAAAACTATTGATGCAGATTGAAGGGTATTTTTTAGCAAGCATTCTAGTATAAGCATTCATAGCAGCTTTAGAGACAATATAGGCACCTAGATTCCTAGGCCACCCTTCACTTTCTAATGAACCTTCTTTGAAATCTCTTAGAAACTTCTTCAACACTGCATCCACTTTCTCTTCACTAAGGTTATCAGCATCACTTAAAACTCCTCTGGCCCATGATTCCTTGGGGAAACTCTGAATTTGACATGATTAAGCAATAAAGCCTCATGCAACCAGGGTTATTTTGAAAAATGGGCAGGAAATGAAACTGAAAAAATTTGCTTCAACATCATGTAGAATGCTAATTAGAGTTGTTATTAAAAATCATGAGTTCAAATTAGTGGAAGTTGAATTTCTTCTAACTTGGCTTATATCCTGCTACTATAAATAACATTTGCTGTCATCTTTAAGTATATCTTATATTATGTCTATTTTTTAACCACTTGTAAAAGAAAATGCAAACATGACTTATCCGTGTATCTGTTACCTATTATAAATTATGGTGCCTTCAAAGAGTAATGATGGAAGATGTTACTATTTCTGTTTAAATCTTCAGGGTTACATACATTGCAAAATATAGAGATTGGTTATTTGTTAACTATTTCAGAACAAATGAATCAAGATTTAACTTGTATTTAAGTCAATAATAGCAAGAACTATCCTAAAAAACTTGCTTAAAAATCTTTTCAGTTGGAGTTTATGCAAAAAACCAGAAAAGAATTTATTAGCACAAGAAGTTATTGCCTACCTCTAACTGCCCCAAAGTGGATGATACATTCACAATTCTTGGTGAGTCAGATAATTGCAGAAGGGGCATAAGGGATTCTAAAGTTATTTTAGCGCCATAGTAGTTTATTTGCAAGCATTCTTCAGCTAACTCATATGTTTGAGTCATTGCCTTTGTTCCATCCTCTTCTGGTACTACCTGAAAGTAATGAGAGCTTAATACTCAATCACAAAAGTTTTTCAAACCCCTAACCGTATCCCCTTCACCAAACTATAACAAACAATCACAACCTTTCTAACAAGAAGTTTCCAGAGCAGTAGCAATGTCATTAACATTGTAGAAGAAGAGCCAATTCCAAAACTCTTAAAACATTGTGAAAATGATTTCACAATTGCTTGACTTTGTGTTAGGCTTAGCAACAAACACTAGTTCATGCTGTTTTCATAACCCAAAATAGATTTTCTTGTAAGGATTTTCCATCACTAGAATTTTAAATGGTCTAGAAAAGTAGCATACTTATGTCCTTTTTGAAAACTGCAACTTTCCACATCTATTAACCAGATTTCCGAACGCACATAGATACTTACCCCACGGTTCGTGATGACTGTAGTGATTAAATCACTGTCTTCAATTACCACTCCATTAATTCCCGCATTGTTAATCTGCATTGAACAATTTTTCTTAATGAAACATGCTAACATCAAAATTATATGTCATGAGATTCCCTTTAAAGCAATCAATTTCTTGATCGTAACTAAATGACTAGATGTATCAGGAATCTGCCAAATTGATTAAATGGAAACTGAAGCTTACTTAATATTAACAAAACACAAAGAAGCATACACATCACATGCCAAACAAAGAAAAGTAAAATTCTGAATCTCGTTTTAAATCCTAGTGGGTCTCCAATCTTACAAGTATCATTAAAAGCAATGTTTAATGCACACAATAACATCATTGAACAATATCCAAGGAAACACCCTTACCAGCACATAACAGTAACCAAATAAATTAACAGCACTGAACAATTTCTATCCAAAGAAACACCTTTTCCAGCACTAGCACAGAATGTTAAACCTTCCAAGCAATAAAACTACTATTCCTTTAACAAGGCATGGTGAATGAACAAAACAGAAGACTTTGGTGTGGAGATGAGATCATCATGGACATTTAGAAAGAGGGATAACAATAATAAAAAGAAATATTCAAAGTCTAACAACTATGGCTAACAAGTAGTATACATTCACACTCATTCAATGAGCATTCTAAAAATGAATAACAGCAGTAGAAAGATGAGCACGCCAACAAACTTTTAAACTTCAACTGAATCTTAAGCATGCAGAATTTCTATGACAAACTTTCATTTACAATAACAAAAGAGAGGAGTATCAAAGTAGCATTTTACCAGAATATCAAGTTTACCAAATTTGGATTTGATAAAATCTGCCAGAGAAGCTACACTTGCAGCATCCGCCACATCTAGTTGATGAAACATTACAAGGTGAGATAAACCTGAGGCTTTGATAGTTTCCATTGCATTGAGACCCCTCTCCTCATTTCTTGCTGTGAGCACCACCTGTATTCCAGCTGAAGCTAACTGCCTAACTGCCTCTAATCCAATTCCTTTATTTGCACCTGTCACAATTGCATACCTGACCAAATCAACCCCCACCCCAAAGAGAAAAAATTTAGATTTGAGTTCAACAATAGAATTGGAAATTGGAACATGTAAACAGAAGGTAAAGATGATGCCAAGGACACCTTTGTGTAGCTTCTCCCATCTTCAGTTTCAAGTCTGAACTGTGATGAGTGCACCTAATCTCAAACCTGTTAGGGTTAACAGGTTTTCATTTATGTTTATCTTTCAACTATAAATACAAATACGACAAACTACGGTTTCCTAAGAACTAAGGATAGCAATCCTCAAGCTGGCATGCCTGCAACTAGAAACTTTTTTTGTCATTTTATGATGCATAACATTAAAAGACAAAAGACAAAACCTGTAACATTGAAAAGACAAAAGACAAAACCTGTAACATTGAAAAGACATAACGTTTAATTCTTTTTAAAGTGTTCACAATCCTTTAAACTTTGATTTTATCAGGAGTTAGTCAAAAGGAGTTGTAAATTTTGAAATTGCTTGTTGAACTACTTCTGACTGTTCTTGCATCGGTGCTTCTCTTCTAGAAAAAAAAAATTGTTATTCTTAAAAAAAGTTACATTTAAAACAAATAAAAGATCAAAACAAATAAGCAGAAAAGTCCAATATTAAAGCATGACAAAACTGTAATTTTCACTCAAAGAATTTTAAAAAATATAATTTTTGTTGCAGTTATCGTAATTTATTTAAAACTCTTTAAAGTTGTCATAAAAATTATGAACAATACAAAACAGAGTCTGAAGCTGCCACAACGTGTGGTTTGATAAAAAAATAATTATAAATAAAATCACTATTATTTATGGGAAATCATTAGGAGAATCTCCTGTTTTGAAAAAAACATGTTCTTAAGAAATAATTTTGGATATGGGAGTGTAATATGAATAGTGGAAATAAGGTCTCAACATTTTTTTAATACGTTTGTCAAAAAACCTATTACTATTAATTAATTATATAAAATTTAAATGTTCATTTAACCTTTTTATTTGTAACATAATTACGAAATGGGAAGTATTATAATTTTTTATAAGAAAATAAAATACATGTGTAAAACTTATCATTTACTTCGATTTAAAAGGAATTATGTTTGAGTTGTTTTAAACCTCAGCAAAGATAATCTTTATTTATAATTTTTTTTTGTTATATTAAGAAATTTAAGGGTCGCATAATTATTTGAAAATTCACGTGTTGACTAATCAAGAAAAAACATTTAGATTGTTGAAAAGTAATTTGATTTTGAACTCTCTTTTCTTTTTTTCTTTTTTTTTTCTCAAAAAGGAGATGGATTTTTGGTGAGACTACCAGACATTGGATGAAAATGACTCCCAACAAAGGTTAATAATTTTAAAAAAAATATAATTTTACAACTGAAAACAACCTATCATTTAATTTACAACTATTTTTATAATAATAATAATAATAATAATAATAATTATTATTATTATTATTATAAATAGTTATTAACGTATATTTCACACTCAATTGTCACTAACATCAGAGTCATTGCATCCTAGGCAATGAAGCTGAAGAGTCCTTTGGTAAATTTCTTTATAAATATTTTAGAAAAAAAATGATATTTGGGCCTAATTAATCACTTAGAATCCTCCATGTTTTTTTCATCTTGTTAATTTAATTAATTTGAGATTAATAGTTTATCATTTACAAAAGTAATTCCATATTATAAGAAACAACAACTTCATAGATGCACGAACAAATAATACATGTTTTAGTTAAAAAAATATATATGGAGAAAATGAAGATAAAAAGCTATAAAAAAGAGACGATCGGTGGATTATTTTCAACCATTCTCTTGAGGTTCAGAAATTTTTTGAACGGCCCAATCTGACATATTTCAGTTTTTTTTTTTTTTTTTTTTACATTTTGTGGGTACAATAATTGTCGGCTGTTTCTGCACGTCATTTTTATAAGATAATATAATTATTGTGGGTCTGTGAAGAAAAAGATATTTTGACATTTTTTTTATAAATATACAAATGAAAATCTTAAAATAATAATATTTTAATTAATTAGTGAAAAGTATAATAAAATAAATAAATAATAATATAAAAATTTAATTGTGAATTGTTCATTGATTATTTTTGTTTTTTTTTAAGACAAAGCACTCTTCTTCCTAATAGTAGTTTTGAAAAGTATGTTATTTAGAAAAAAATAATTTGTATATATTTCAAACTATTTGACCTGAAATTTATATTTTAGACAGTACGGGAGCTGCAGGACCACGGCCCCGCCACTCAAAATCAGATTTTTTTTAATATATATAATAATAATTTTTTAAAATTAAATAAATATTATTTTATAAATATAAATAAAATTTAAATTTTTATGTTTTTCTCAATTTTCATTTATAATCAATATCATATTTTTTATAGAATTATTTACTTTTTTTTCATTTTATCTTACCTTTTTTATTTTTAATTTTACTTTAATTTTTTTATTACACACTCATTCTATATTTTCTTATTTTTATTTTTTATTATTTATTTACTTTTATATTCTTCTTAGTTTCATCTTATAAATTTATAAATTTTTATCTTTTAGTTTTTAATTTTTTTTATAATTCCATCTCTATAACATAAAAATTATAATTTTATTCTTTAAATTTTTATTTTTTTTAATCTTCGGCTCAAAAAGGCACAAGATAAAAATTTAAATAAAATAAAATAAATGAAATACTTCAATAATAATTTTTAGTAAAAATTAGTAAACAAATTTACTTTCTTGTTTATTTTATTATTTTTTATAAACTTGCATGTGTAGTGTAATAAAAAATATAAAAGATTAATATAATTTTTTTAATTTGTTATAAATTAATTAGTTATTTTAATATTTTGTTATGCTTTATTTTAATGTTAACACATAAAAAAAATTTGAGTTTAATAAATATCTAAAAAATAAAATTATAGACTTATTTATTATGAGAAAAATAAATAAATGATATAAATATTATTTTTAAAAATTTAAATTCAATTAATAATATTATACCTATAATATATTTATTTTTATATGATAATTAAATTTTTATATGATGACCTTTAGAATTCTTTGTTTTACCCTTATCATAGATCACCAACTTAGAATAATTCAAAATACATTTCAAGTGGCAACATATAAAGATGATATTATTTTTGTGATAAATAGGAAGATGAAGAAACAAATTATGTAGTTGGAGAAACAAAGTTGACAACTTTTTTCCTTTACTAATGTGGTTTAAAACAACTTTCTCTGTCTTGTAAACATTTATATATAAGTTGTAGCTTTCTTTTATTCTTAAATATTATAAAACTAGTGCACATCATAAGGATTTTAAGATCTATTACTAGATAAAACTTTTTTTTATGTCGATTATTTTGGACATTTTATATTGATTTCGCAATCGACATAGATATAGGAGACATAAAATATTTTATTTTTTATGTTAATTCATGGAACAACATAAAAAAAATCACTTTCTATGTCAATTGCAACTGTCATAGAAAATTTGAAAAAATGATGAATGTGACATAGATATTTTTTATGACGATTATCTTAATTTCATAGAAAACACATTTTCTATGTCGATTTTGCAAAAGAGCCAATATAGAAAATATCACTCTTTATAACGTTTTTTTTGCAAAACCGACATAGAAACTTAACTATTGTAGAAAGTTTCAGTTTTTTATGACGGTTATGATATCACCCATCATAGAAAGTGTATCTTTTATGTCAATTATTTTTGTAACCAACATAAAAAGTTACCGTTCTTTTTTAAATATTTTTTTATTTTGTACATCAACATCCCTGCATAATAATAAATATATATTTTTAAGACATACTATATAATCAACGCATTCATAATATATCTAATATTAACATATAAAATACATACAAAAACAAAACATTAAGTGCATATTTAATATTGTTTAATTTACATTATTCGAAGTTAGAACAATTTACAAATTATAAAAAATACTTAAAAAATGGGAAACTCATTGCATCCTTATGTCTTTTATAACTTCTTCTTTCAATGGGTATGAGTATCTATAAAATCAACATCTTCCAACCACCTAAACATCTCCACAAAGAAAAATGTTAATAACTCTTTACATCTTATCAAGGGGTATTGATAATATAAGCTACCAAGTTTGGTATAGTCAAGAAGTCGAGGAGATAATATTCCAGCTCAAACAAATGGGACTTGATTTAAGCAAGAATTCACATTGGATCATTGAAGTGGTTGTTTCAATAAGATAATATAATCAACTCATTATTTTGAAAAGTAATATCATATTTCATGATTCAAATGCCTATTAGTTATCACCTTTCTATATATAGGAAAGTCTACCCTGCTTATTAATTATTTTGTCCATGTTCATAAAAAAATGGAAAATTAAGGTGATTTTTTATGTATAATGTTATAATTGTGTTACTTTAAACTATGCGACTAAATACATGTTACTTATCAAAAATTAGTTATGCACTTATGAACATAACATAATCTCTCTCCCTTGCTCTCCTTGTTTTTTGGACTATAAGAAAAATTAACTACTTTCACACTGGTTATGAATAATAGTTAAGGTCATTTAATATTCCTATTTTCAAACAATAAAGAGGTGTTTTTTCTAGATTACCCTCAACTTGTCACTCTTAGAAAAGAAATCTGTTAGCAGAATTATCATAATAAATTTTTAGCGGTTTGGTAATATTGTCGACTACTCAAAGCCCTGAAATAAAATTTTGCAACTAATTAGCTTAAATTTTGCACTCAAAGCATGCTACAAATTCAGCCTCCATGGCGGATGTAGTAATGACTGACTGCTTTGCACTTTTCTATAGGATCACTCATATGGCTAAAACATACCAACAATTAAGAATTGTTTTCCCCCACTTGTTGCATGAAAAACTAAATCACAAGCTTATGATAAAAACCGAGCAGTTCTAATAAAATTTGTAATATGAATACCCTTACCCTTTGCAGATATATAGGGTGACATTTTAGGATTCAATTTTCTAGTATCGTGGCCAAAATGAACTCCAGCTTCCATCATCTCTTCCAAAATTATGTTTCAATATATTTTTTTCATTTATATTTATCCCCACATTTTTCTTAATCAAATGTAGATTTTCTTGTATCCATCCAGCCAACAAAATTTGAATTTGTATATCCAATCACCTTAAGGTGATTAGATATTTTATAAGTAAACATGTGATTCTTTATTTCTTGCAAGTATCTTAAAACTTACTTTGGTATCTACCAAGCATTACCAATTGCAAAACTAATATCTAGTCTTGTACATTTTTTAGCATACATCTAACTCTCGACAACAGATGCATAAGGGATGTTTTTCATCTGTTTTTGTTCTAAATTATTTTTTGGACATTGACATAAGACTAAATTTGTCTCATTTCTATATTAAATAGGAGATGTTGAACATTTATCCATTATGAATCTTTCTAAAACTTTATTAATATATGCTTTTTGAGACAAGTCTAACAATCATTATGATCTATCATGA